AACAACTCTTCCTGAGGCTGCACCCCCGCAAAGCTCCTGGCCCGGACCACGTGTCTCCGGCCACTCTGAGACACTGCGCCAGTGAGCTTACTCCTGTGTTCACGGACATTTTCAACACCTCTCTGCAGTCCTGCCATGTCCCGGCCTGCTTCAAATCCTCCGTCATTGTCCCCGTCCCGAAGAAGCCCAGGATCACAGGACTCAATGACTACAGACCTGTAGCACTTACGTCTGTAGTCATGAAGTCATTTGAACGCCTGGTTCTCTCCCATCTCAAGTCCCTCACCTCCCCCCTCCTGGACCCCCTGCAGTTCGCCTACAGAGCCAACAGATCTGTAGACGACGCCATTAACCTGGCCCTCCACCACATCCTACAGCACCTGGACTCCCCGGGGACCTACGCCAGGGTCCTGTTCGTGGACTTCAGCTCTGCCTTCAACACAATCCTGCCATCCCTGCTCCAGGACAAGCTCTCCCAGCTCAACGTGCCCGATTCCACCTGCAGGTGGATCACTGACTTCCTGACGGACAGGAAGCAGCGAGTGCGTCTGGGGAAGAACGTCTCGGACTCTCGGATTATAAATACAGGAGCCCCACAGGGCTGTGTTCTTTCTCCCCTGCTCTTCTCCCTGTACACCAACCACTGCACCTCCAGCCACGACTCCGTGAAGCTGATCAAGTTCGCGGACGACACCACCCTCATTGGACTCATCTCCAACAACGATGAGTCCGCCTACAGGAGGGAGGTGGACCGGCTGGTGTCCTGGTGCAGTGGTAACAACCTGGAGCTGAACGCCCAGAAGACAGTGGAGATGATTGTGGACTTCAGGAAGAGCACTGTCCCCCCGCGCCCACCCTCCGTGATGGACTCCCCCATCACCTCTGTGGAGTCCTTCCGTTTCCTGGGCACCACCATCACCCAGGACCTCAAGTGGGAGCCGACCATCAGCTCCCTCATCAAGAAGGCCCAGCAGAGGATGTACTTCCTGCGGCAGCTCAGGAAAGCCAAGCTGCCTGCACAGATGTTGGTGCAGTTCTACACGGCCATCATCGAGTCCATCCTCAACTCCTCCGTCACCGTGTGGTTCGCTGGAGCCACAGTCAGGGACAAACAGAGACTACAGCGCATTGTGCGCTCTGCAGAGGAAGTGATCGGCCGCAGCCTTCCATCGCTGCAGGACCTGTACGTCGCCCGAGCTCGAGGCCGGGCTGGTCGTATCACAGCCGACCCCTCTCACCCTGCACATGGACTATTCCAACCACTCCCCTCAGGCAGGAGGCTGCGGTCCATCAGGACTAGAACCTCCCGCCACAAGAACAGTTTCTTCCCCTCTGCTGTTGGACTCTTGAACACTTCTTAACCTGTCCCCCCGCCCTTTATAAAGTCACTTTACTGCCCATCATACGTCACTTTACTTCACTGTACTGCTGTCACCTTACATTGTGTGCACCATGTGCACTTGTATATTGTAAATAGTAACTGTAACTCTATTTTAAATTTAAATGTATTCTTTAGAAGTGTTTTTTATTCTTATTTTTATTATCTCTTTTTGACTGTTGCACTGAGCCAAAGCAATTTCCTAGTCTGTGACCTCCTGTTACTTACGTGGCAATAAAAATGATTCTGATTCTGATTCTGAACTTGAGAGGAGGGAAAGGCGCGGAAACTTGCTCTGATCTGCAAAGTAACACAGCGCTCAAATCCTACTGTTTCTTTAGTAAATGCCAGTTATGCGTTTTATCATTGTTGTATTTATTATTTTTATGTTTAGTTATTTCATACTTGAACATCTTGTTGCAGTGACATAGCTCTGACTAAATGAAATGTGTTCTTCATTCACAGATTCTGATAAAAGAGCCCTCCCCCATTGGGGTTGACAGGGCATGGAGGTAAAGATAATTCCTCCTCATACCATTGTACATATTTTTGTATATATTCTCCTGGTATAGTTATTTACAAATTTATATTATTTACAGGTGGTGCATCAAGAGGCAGTTGCTGTGCACAAAAAAGGTAAAAACTATTTCTATTCTTGTACATCCCATGGCAATATAATATAATAATAATATAGTATACTTGTTTGGTCCAAAAGTAGTCAGTCAATAATGTGGGAGGAAGGCCTTCATTGTATTTTATGTATTGATTTATTGTAACAAATTCACTGTATAATATATTTATTGTGTGTATCCATTTTCCAGCACGTTCGTCACCCAGAAGCTCTGGGGAAGATGGCTGACAGGAGGAGTGGGAGCCGAGTCAGTTGCCCTTCACAGGAGCTCCTGGACCTCAGAGGCTGCGGACAGAGGCTGCGAAGCTGGATTCATCTGATCCAGACTTTCTGGAGCTGGATTCATCTGATCCAGACTTTCTGGAGCTGGATTCATCTGATCCAGACTTTCTGGAGCTGGATTCATCTGATCCAGACTTTCTGGAGCTCTTCTTCACGGAGGGAGAACTACAAATGGTACACAGCGTGTCGTGTTCCGTTGCACACAGTGTTTCAACCTCTACAACTCAAAGCTGAACTACTGGGAGGACTGAAAAAGCAGATGAACTCACTCATACACACACTCACGAACACTCACACGCACACACACACGAACACACACACGCACTCACTCACGCGCACACAGACACACACGCACTCACTCGCACACTGACATTCACACACACACACTCAAATTCACACGCGTCATTCTATTTTATACATCTATAGTTTTATTGATCTTTGTGTTGTTGTTTGACGTTTTGGTTGATGGTATAGAAGAAAGTTAAATTTTCTATCTGTGAATAAATTGCCAACAATTTGCCATCAAAAGTATTATTTCAGAGTCAAGTTTTTATAATGTTTGTAATAGAACAAGTGTGAAGATGTTTTGAGTTGTCACTAAAGCAGCAAAAATGCATCTAAAGTCTCTTTTCTGCTTGATATGTTCCTGTTTACATACAGCTCCTTTTCTCTGTTTTCTTGCTCAGACCAGGTGTTGTGGGTGAAAGTATGCTTTGTTCTATGGCGAATAGCTCAAGAACGGTAAGAGGTAGAAACAAACTGTTTTTTTCAGAGTAAAGCAGAGAGGTTAATCTTTAATGTGCCCTTGGTGTTTACATCGTCTAAAAAATGAATATTCTGTGGCACTTCAAAGTTGGGTCAAATCACCTGAAATTGCTGGCAGAACGCACTTCTCAAATTTGAAAATGCCTGGCAGTCAGTGAGTTAAAAGACACATATTCAAATGACAAAAACTTCCCAAGAGACATTCTATGGGAGACAAAGTGGTCTCTAAAAATGGCAGCTAAGCCTCCTCCTTTTTTGTTTTCCCGTATTTCAGATTCAAACTTGAAATTTGGTGGTGATGCTTCTATTAAAACTGCATTTCCTGAATTTTGGTCAAGCCAAGTTTCAGCCATGAACATAAGATCAAGATTATGAGAACAAATCAAATTATTGATTAAAAAAAGACTTGTTACAAAGAGATCTGACATTAAGCGTAGCAAGTTTCAAAGTTTCAGTATCAGCGGTTGTGGTCGGCTGATTCTTACACGGAACAAGAATTAGATTTTCCAGATTAGACTGATTAACTCCAGATGTTTTTCTGTAATGTATTCTTTGTGTTATCACTAAGGGAATGGCACAGGTGGCTTCATGACAGGGCCCCAGCCGGGTCCCTCCTCTAACTAGACTGCCAGTGGCTGTACACCTCAACGCATGCCTCTACAAATGAGAAAGCCGAAGAAGTGTTTTTCTCCACTTTGGGTGAATGCAGAAGCCAAACCGTGTTAACTACTATTACTTAGAAGTTACTCACAGAATACAATTTGACTTTTGGTTTTACAGGATGATTTTATTTATATCGCTTCTCGTCTAAACATTTCAGTCATGTTCCATTTTGCTCTCCTGTTTACACATCTCCTCCACTGCTGCTGTTTGGATGAGTGGTATTGAAGATTTAACAATCCCATTTCGTCTGCGTTAGAGAGGAGCTTGTGTTTTTGATGTGATTATGTTTCTGTTTATTTTATAGATTTGTTGTGTCTGTCACGTCCCTGTCAAATAATCAACAAGGATCTAAGCACATTAAACATTAAAAAGTAAACAACAGTTTGCTAATGGTAAATATATTGTATTACACATTTTCAGTTGAAGTCAATGGAAACCTCTTATTAGAATCGGTTACAATCCTCACAAAATAGTCCTCTTTAGAGCACTACATTATATAAGATATACCATGTCCTCCTGAAATGGCCAAATCAGAAAAAAAACATGCTGAGGAGAGACAGCAGTGAAAGCTTAACCTGAGGTACACTGATTGGAAGTCCCAAACGCTCTGAGAGGGAAAAGCTGCTGTGCCAGTTGAACAATTAATCTCATTTCAAAAGATCCCCCGGTTAGGTGTAGGACTGCCTGCTGGGCTGAGTGCCGTCAAGTAGACAAGTGGAAAAAGGTACAAAAATACTAAAACCAAAGTCACATTTTCAAAGCTAATTGGTTATAGTGGGACAGCCTTTGAATTGTTTTGCCTATTAGCACATAGCTGGTATTCACTCAGATTAAGCACTATCAGGAAGTGATACAAAATATGCAGTAATGGCCAAATCAGATATGTGAGAATAATAATAAGTCTACTTGTTAGGTGCTATAGAAGTCTACTGTAAATTATGCAAATGATGAAGCACTTACCTTAACCCTAACCCTATAACAAATCTAAATTATCCATATCCAAATGTTTTTTCAAACATCATTAAAAGTGACAAAGTGGATTTTCAAATGAAAATCAAATAGTAGTGCAACAATGACAGAACAATCCTCTTTCTTATTTGCTTATGACACGCATTTTCGCTTTACCCTTTGAAGATGTCTAAGTCAGTCTGTGGTTTTCCTCATGTCTTATTAACTTGTCCCTGTCCGTCTGCTCTTCACACTGATATTACATTGACTTGCACTTAGCCTGCTTTCTAATAAAACAAGGTGCTCGCTGGTTCCCCTGGTGTCCAGCTACTATCACACAAGAACGCTGGAGTGGTTGAGTGGATAACCATTGATCTTTCCTTTTGGGAATTTCTCCTGTGCCTCGCTCGTTTCTGTGGCAGCCCCCGCATCACCACAGAAGCCCTGCGCTCTAACGACCCACCAGGACTTACATGCAGCTAATGAGCTGATGGAGGAGCGCATCGATCCAAGTGCCTGAGTCTAGGAACGGCCAATTACCTTAAGTAAACAGAAAAAAACTTGCCCGGAGTCAAGCCAGGAGGCCGCTATATATTGGTTGTGCACAGTTATGTAATTCAGATAGCATTGTGGCATCTCTGTAAAGTCTGGCACGGTGAAGACCAAACTGGGAGCAATAAAGCAGCTGATAAGATGCCAAAGCAAGGTAGATGAGCTAAACAATGTACACACTTGGCTTTGTGCATGTTTGGCAGAACATGAGTGGAGAATAAAAATGGATACCTGTGGCTTTCTCTCAACGCTTCTTTGCCCTTCCTCCACAAAATGACGCCCCGAGGAGACATCCGAGGCTTGCACTCGATCAAGATGTCGCCGCCGAGTCGGGCCAAAGTTTGGGCCTTCAGCAAGTTCTGCGAGAAGTCTGGAGCGATGGCTGTGAGAGGGAGATAACAAGAGAAATTGGTTCATGTCCTAAATGCTTTTTTTGTTATTGTGGTTGCTTAGAACAATAGATTTCAAGGCAATAGTAGCTTTCTCTTTCACATTATTATCCGTGACTCTTGGTACCATATTAGTGCCATATATTCAAAGAAGCATTACACATTATTTCGTCCATTAAAGAATATAAATATTTTATATGATCATAAATTCAAACTCATATTTTAAGTGAACAATATAAACAAGTATTATGTTTGATGCTATTGAGCATTTATTATACGTGCTATTGAGCAAGTATGAATAATGCTGAGCTGTCCTAATAGGTGTGATGTGTTTTGTTATGTTCAAACTTGACAATACAGAAACACATCTGTTTGTGTGTAACGTCATAGTGGTTCAATTACAACAGTTTATTACAGGACTGAGACAGGAGCATTTAGACAGAAGTGAAATTGTGACATGTTTATGCCAGAAATTCCTGATATTAGCATGGATGAATCCACAAACAACTCGAGGTCTGTTTTAACAGGGTTTAAAGTAGATTTTTGTATTTATTTACAATGCAATTCATTAGTCATATTTTTTGTCTATTGCCCGTCCATATTTAAATTTGTTTTACTTTTTTTCCCCTTCTGCAATGTTAAAGTCAAAACAAAACAATGATAACTGGTCAATCCTAAAATAACGATATAATATATATAATAATAACTGACTGTCTATTGGCTATATATATACAGTATAGACTAAAGAATAACCATATAACTAAAGGTATAGGTTATTATCTCAAGGACAAAGATGTGAGGTAATGTTGGTGTAACTCATGACAAAAGTATAGGTGAAACAGTATACTATCAGTTTTCAAACAATCATGTAAACAGGTGTATTCATTCATGTCAAGGATTATTTATTCAGGTGTTAGTAAGATTGGTTACTCGTCCTTAAACCATATGTCTCAATATAAATCACACAAAAAGCAAAGGGCATTCATTTCCTAAAAGGACCATGTTGTTCCTCTAATCCAAAGCCTTTTCTCAGACATTGTGCATTAAGGTCGAAGCAGCAGGCAGGCTCCAAAGCTGATCTGGATGTGTGTGAAAGGAGAGGCAGGTTTTGGAGCCGCTCCTTTAGACCTTAATGACTATGGCGTCTGTTTGGTTTGAGTCCCGCGTCAGCACAATGCTCTTCAAAGTGGATGCACAGACTGGCTCCTCAGACAGAGACGAGCCAACGCGCCACTGCACTACAATAATATGTGCACGCAATTATCAGTCCTCATCACCACGGCAACAAACAACAAAATCCTTAATTTCCTTTTATTTACGCTGTCAAGAAGTGTGAGCGTGTATTTGTATATGTGTATGTGTGTGTATGTGTGTGTATGTGCGTGTCTGTGTGTGTGTGTGCGTGTGTGTGTGCATGTGTATGTAACGGCTGCCAGCCAAGCCCTGGCGATCCAAGATGGCGCTGTATTCAAATGAATGGTTGTGCTCAGTGGCGCTTTGTGCCGGTGTTCTGTGGAGTTGGTCTGCCCGTCGAGATGATCTGCCTCAGCTGTTAATGATGTATTGCAAACCTGCGCTGCGCGTCTCACGGCAGCCGAAGCAATCCAAGACGGCGGACATGTAGTCCGCGAATTGCTTTAAAAGTTAAAATACGAACGAATTAAGACACAAATGTCACTTTTAATTCAATTTGAGGCGAGATGTTGATGGTTCCGCGTTGTGATATGTGGGTTTTAAGAGCAAGAGTTTCGTGTAAAGTTTGTTTTAGGCAGTCCACTGCGCCTGTGAAACTACACTGCTAGTGTACCCAAATCTAATTTGTGCATGCGCAGAAACTCGCCAGAATGGGGAAAAAACTCAATCTAATTAAATATTTCGTTTGCAAACACTATTGTTCATCATATTGAATACAGTATGATACATGCATTAAATTTAATTTATTATTTCCATTATCAACGCGACAGACCAGTCACAGGACGCGTCATGGGCCTACGTCAGTAAAATTACGTATGCAGAAGCCAACTCAGGGACTGCGATCACACAGCAGCAGTGTAGTTTCACAGGAGCAGTGGACTGCTTAAAACAAACTTTACACAAAACTCTTACTCTCAAAACCCACATATCACAACGCGGAACCATCAACATCTCGCCTCAAATTGTATTAAAAGTGACATTTGTGTCTTAATTCGTTCGTATTTTAACTTTTAAAGCAATTTGTGGAATTCATGTCCGCCATCTTGGATGGCTTCTGCTGCCAAGAGATGCGCAGCGCAGGTTTGCATTACATCATTAACAGCTGAGGGAGATCAGCTCGACGGGCAGACCAACTCCACAGAACACCGGCATGGGGGCTGAAAGATTAGCGGAAGTTGCCTGGAACTCGCAGGCGAGATCCATGGGAAACTCGCCTGTATTTGGGCTATCTCCCATGATGTGTTGCGCCAAATACCGTGTGTGGGTCTCACATGAGGTCTCACGCACGTGCACAGAGGGGCTCGGCCGCGCTTTGAACAATCAGAGCAGTTCATCAGAGCGGGAGTTAGAGCGAGAGCCAGACGAGCAGAGTTTGTGGCACTAAAGTGTGGATTTAAAGAAAACCAATTTAAGAATAAAAAAAAAATTCAGATTGACAAGGGACACTAAAATCCCCACAAAATCCGACCTTTATGAAAGCTGTCGGTTCTCTGTCAGCTGAGGTCGAGCTGTTTTAATTTACATTGAGTTCTATGGGGAAAATTTCTGGGTAGCCCTCGTGAATTTAGTCTGGTTTAGTCTGCAGTACCGCGAGAATCCCCCGAGCACATGAGTTCTTCAGCTCCAAGCTAGTAATACCCTATCCAGTTAGTATAATAGATCCATGCTGCCAACTCGTCCACGAGCCGTATACGTACAGCAGGACACAGAGTGGAGTCAACTACTTTACTCAGACCTGTGACAGACCAAAAAATATTCACTTTTAGTCACAGCGGACAAACTGCCCCCCCTCCCCCCCCCCCCCCTCTGAAGCGCAGCTTTGAGAGGGGGAGGGGAGCAAATAATAATATTGTAACAGGATTTTCAAATGTTGACAGTAATTTTACATGAACAATGTAATAAAAATAAAATAAATATACATTGGAGGTAGTGGAGTAATCAATTGGAGTACAAATGCACAAATACAAACATTTTTCCGATAAAAATAAATTACCTGTGACACACCAAAAATATAAATGTTTAGTCACAGCGGACGCACTGGCTCCCCCTACGGGATGAAAACGGCACGTGAGCATGGCAATACACTTGAGGCACATGGTAAGCTAGCTAAATAAAAAGTACATAAAAACTAAAAATGTGCGATAGAAAATGCGCAAAAGTACGTTCATTGCATCCAAATACATTTCCTACTAAACATATCTTAGTGAATATTGCAGTAAATAAAGCGAAATGATTGAAAATATGTATTTTTCACAGAGACAGAACTCACCCTCTGAAGGATACCGCGGCTTTGAGAGGGAAAGTTGAGTACCAAAATAAAACACAGGGGAGCAGCGCGCACTTCCGGGAATTTCAAAATAAAACGTCAAAATAATAAAATTCTCACAAAATTACATTTTAAAATAAAATACAACCAGGAATTGTAAACAAAAATTATAAAGTGCATTTCTATATCCGTTACATGTGTGTGTATGTGTATGTGTGTGTGCATTAGTATATATGTTGTATGTATGTGCATGTGTGTTGTGTAAATGTGTGTTGTATGTGAGTGTATTTGTATATGAGTGTATTTGTATATTTGCGTGTAGGTGTACTGGGTGTATGTGTGTATCTAAGTATAGGTATGTGTGTCTATGTGCATGGGTATGTGTTCCAATATTTAAAGCTGGGGTATCTAACTTATTGTTTCCAAATAATATATAGTTCAGTTTTATAAAAGCGAAAATGTGAAAAAACCAGACCAGAACATGCCATTTTATTATATTACCCACAAGGTTCTTTCTAACAAGTATGTGTTTAGTTATTTGATGTTTTGGGCAGCAAGATGATTGGTTGAGTGAGGTTGGTCATTTTTTTTTTTTTTTTTAATGTTCTGTCTGAAATATCGATGTGACAGGGTGCAAATATATAGTATATGATTGTGATAAAGCCAAACTGATTTGAGAGCGATGAGTTTTTATAACTATAAAAAGAACTTTCTATAAATGTAATAAATGAAATATCAGTTGAACAATTATTAGCATGACATCCATATCACACCCAGGAGCAGACTCAAAATAACAGCCATAATAGAGAAAGTGAAGGACATGCAATTACTGCCAGACCGTCGCTTGTCAGTCTTTTCAAACTTTGTCTTAACTTAAGTCAGACTTTTTATAGCCCGACAGCTAAAAAAACAAAGGTATGAGATATATTGCAGAAAGTAATTACATAACCTTTATTAAACAATCATCTGTCACCACTCTGAATTATTCAGTTTCAATTCTACAAGGAAAATGAACAATGCATATTATGTGTGCTCACATTTTTATGATAGTCACTGAATCATTGTCACCAAAATCCGTCGTTGGATTGTGCCTTGGGTCATCTCAGCTGGATCAGAGGAGAGTGAAAATTGTTGTAAATTCACCTGCTGATTCCATTAAGGAAAACAAAACCATTCATTTTTCCTGTGGTTTGGACTAGTTTACGGCTTCCAGACCTACACCGGGACATTTTCACTTTAACAGGAATCACAAAAATGCTTGTATGCATAAATAAGTTAACCATTTTTCATTAGATGAGTGTGTTTGTTGTTGTTTTTAGTTTTTTTGGCATTGCTTGATAATGAGACACCCATTGCATCTTTATATATATATTTATATATATATATGATACTAAAAAAAACACAACTCTTGAAATGAACTGATAAATATTATGTACCTGCATGACTGGCATGCATGACCTCACACATACTTCCTAAAGTGTTTCAAAGACGGTAATCAGAACAGAGTATTTTGGGAAGCCAGGATGTTTTCACTCCCATCCAGAAGAAATGGTTTAAGAAATCTACACACTTAACTTGGACTGCACACATTTGCTGCAACTTAGACTCATATTTTGGTCAGGATTAAAAGAGCAGCAAGATGGTACTTATGGTGCATGTTTTGGGGAAAGAGGAAGAACTCACACTCACCCAAGAAGCCTTGGCCGAAATGGGATGGACTTGAGGCCATTATATGTAACATGTATTTATTGTATGATTGTAATTATTATTGTAATTATTATAGTTGAAAACGGACAAAGCAAAATGCAAATATAGTTCCTTATGATTAAATTGATTGTAGGTGGCTCGAAAACTACAGAGTCCCTATTTTAGTAAGTATAATAAAGCACAATTTTTTGTTCTTTTAATTTTTGGCTCTTTTTCTCAGCTTCACTTGGACGTGTCTACTTGTGTCTGTTCTTAAATTTCCCAATGTTCTGCTTTCACATGCACTTGTCTCTTACCTACAACTCGAAGCTCCGCGTTGGTGAACACTCGCCCGTGCTTGTTCTCGGCCACGCACTGGTACATGCCAATGTCAGCCATATTCAGACTGCTAATCGTCAGCACTCCGCCATTCACCTGGAGTCTGTCCTGTTACAACACACAGAGATGCACATCCATATTAAAGAGGCTAACCCACTCACAAACGTCAGCAGCCTCACGCTCCGGTGGAGCTCTGCCTATGCCCCGTAAGCCCAGAGTTCAAACACAATCAAGCCTGCTAGGCACCTTTATTCTCACATTTACAATTGTATTGTTTTTTTTGGTATCGAAAACAAAAATATATATATAACAATTAAGGATGTCATATACATTCCTCTCTATTATGTTCATGCAACTTTTGTTTGTTACATCTGTAACAAATACTGTTAATGATTCTTGTCTAACATATTTATTTGAAATTTGATAAGACATAACCCTTCTTTGCCAAATCATGATCCAATTTGGCCAAGAAACAAAATCAATGCATGGGGCTTCATTTAAAGTCTGACTGCAATCAGCAGTGGCTTGACCAGAGATATTCTGTTGAAATAACGTCACAATTAAATAACTTCTTATGAAACCAAATGTCAGATGAAACCTAAACTGAACTCAAACTGCCAGTGTGTCTGTAATTAGAGCTATATAGACCCCCTTAAAGCAGTTTATGCCAGCTGTGTTCATTCTGATAAATGGCCTGATCTAATTCAAGCTTTAGCCACACTTTCTTCTTCCTCAGGGGGTTGATAATTGAAACAGTGCTAATTTTCTGTAGTTGTAATAGGCCCATGGTGAGTATGTAACAGAGCACCGGGACATTATCAAACGCAGCTTTGACTCAAACCTCTAAGGGATTAATCAGGAATAAGATGTAGACACAAGCTCCAAGAGTCCAGTGGGTGATAGAAACATATTTATTTAAATGTAAAAATACGCCATTTTAAACAGTTATCCACACAGAGCCACATAATCATAAGTGTTCCTTGCCACATTCCTTTGACCTTTGGGGCAGCGGCACACTCCCTCTTTATAGTCGTGTCAATTTAAGTGTAGCAGCGCTCATTGTTCTCGCCCTTGATCTTTCTCTTCGTGTGTAGCTGGACCTTTTAATGTCACTGACAAAGTAGTCCGGAGGGTCCTGACGCCTGTATGCCTGTGGACCCCATCATTACTGCAGTGCCACTTGAAAAGACATGCACTGTCCCTTAACATCAGTCAGTCGCTGTTCAGAAGGTTTCTCTCAACAAGATAACACAGAGCTACAGTTTCCCAGGCACTGAACCAATCACTATAGGGCGTGGTAAGCAGCAGAGGGTGAGAACGAGAGCGTGGTTGTTAGTTCTCTGGTAGTGACAATGGTCAGGTGTGTGTACTGCATGTCCAAGAGGAGAAATTATAAGCAAGAAGAGAGCAGGGGAAAAAGAAAGAGAAACTTGAATGGAGAAAGTTCCTTTTATAGGTTAAGCAGAGTAAACCCCCAGGGAGCAAGAAAAAGATGAGTGTACAGTAAGTGCATGGGCCGGTGCCACAGTGCATGTTTTGTATCCAGTGTTCAGAACTCTGGAGACCCACTGGTGACTCTATCACATTCTCTTTAGTGCTGCAGACAAACGCTGGCATTCTGCCTCGTGGCCTTCATTAATTATGCCTGACTCCTCTCGAGTACAAGCAGCGGAGAAGAGGCCACTCTGCTCCTGCACTGCAACTACACTGACCAACAAAAGCTATTGAGAGTGTAGTTATTCTACAATCTGCAAGGCATATCTGTAGAAACCAGTCTGCTCCGTAAGGTCTACTTTGAAGCTTCCTTTGTGGATGGTCTGCAGGTTGAATACTGTATATCCATCCATCCATTTTCTACCCTTTAATCCATTTCTGGGTCAGGGGGGTGGCAGTCAGAGATGCCACCCAAGTCTCATAGCACCAGCCCCTCACTGACCCTCTGCAGGTGGTGAGTCCACAGGAGGACGGCTGCTCTCTGAGTATAGCCTTGATCTTTCAGTGGGGGCTTTGGGCAAAGTGGGGTTAAGTGTCTTGCCCAAGGACACAACGACAGCAGTCATCAGTGGGAATCGATGGAGAAGGTGCAGAGGTGGGAATTGAACCCATGACCGTCTGGCCTTAAGGCCAATGCTCTACCAACTGAGCTACTGTCGCCCTTATAATAATGTGAGACTAACAAATATTTATCAACACAATAAGTTAATAAGAAATTGGCAAAAAAGTGGCCATTACTGTGTGGACAATTTTTTAATTATATATATATATATATATATATATATATATATATATATATATATATATATATATATATATATATATATATAGGGGAAAACCTACATGTGCAACAAACTGGGAATGGTTCTAATTGCGGGTTTATGGTTCTGTCCGTGCGTTATGGTCCGCGCTCAGTGCATGACCACGTTACGGCTGCGCACTCGCTGAGCTGCGGCTGTCGGTATAAAGCGGCTCCCGAGGTCAGAATGGAGGATGTGAAAAAGTCGGAATTTGCGGATCCGCAGAAAATTCTGATCCCTGGTTTATCCTGATGCATTTCATTGGTCAAGAGAATTGATCAATGAAGAGAATTCGTCAAAAAAGACAGACGTTTCTGGCCTGAAAGGGAAAAGTCCGCAACAGCACTCCCGGCTCAAAAAGTAGAAATGCTGGAATGCGTTCCTGGCCTCAATGGGTTACGGTTCCAAGTTTTTTTAAAATAATGTTAATGTTTCTCTCAAATGTTTGCAATGTGAATGCATGCAGTCATAGTCCAGGAGGAGAAATACTTATTTTATTCCACAACACACCTGAATGTTGATAAGAGATAAGATAAGAATTCCTTTATTCGTCCCACTCGATGTTGCATCGCACATACTGTATAGGACAGTAGTAAGAGCACACAGGGAGCACACACAATATATACACTATATACAAATAAGTAGTAGCTATGTTTCTTAACTAACATAACTAGCTGTAGATGCTGAAAATGCTTCAATACCAGTCAAAAAAATATAAAAATATGTAGTACTGCAGTTATATACTGTACAGTTAAATAGTGCGGGATAAAAAGTATATAAGTAAAGTGACATGAGGTAAAGTGACATTGTTCTGTGACATCCTGAAGTTGCAGTATTGCACACTGCACATGATTTAAGAATTTACTTAATTACAGATGAATGCAATTTATGAAATTTACAGGCTCAGGAGCCGAATGTTCTTGAAACAAACTTGTGCCTGGTGCTGACAGAGCAGGGCAGGAAAGAGGTTGAGTGGGTTCTGGTTTGCACGGTGACATTTTAAAGTGACAGGCATCCACTGTGCCATTTATGCCCTCAGAGGGAGGGCACAATGAAGCGGATAGAACAAAGGTGAAAACCTTAAGAAAGAGATAGTGTGCTGAAGGGCCATGAAGAAGCAGGACTGATCCATTCTAATGAGGAATAACAAATGGCCGTCCACGCTTGCCTCTCCTCCTGCCTCTCTCTCAACATGGCTGACCTTTGGGTTGGGGAATTGATTTACTGTTGCCGCTGTTGATGGTGGCATTTTGAAAATGGTAACACCCCAGCTCATTAATATAGCCACATGTACAGAGAATATGTTACCTTGGCCATCCACCCAAAGAATTTCACAATGTTATTTAAAGATCAATACAAGAGACGCACAGGTGGAGCAGTGAGGCCTTCCTGTGGTTAAAGATATGTGGCAGAGAGAAATTACCTTTTTCTTCTGCCTAAATTAATATTTGAGATGGGCCAGAAAAGTTGATAACTTTTTCTTCTGTTGAAAAAGTCGGTATCTTTCTTCTTTTATTTACTTCATTTCTGTTCAAATTTCCACCGTGCGTTAGCTTACTAAAATGTCACTGCAGCTGACTGGCTACATTGGTATCCAAAAAAAGTGAATTCATCACGTTAATTTGGCTTTATTCCATGTCAAATGGAAATAAGTTAGTCCCTTGTAAACTCTGGCATATACATGAGCTTTATCCAAGTGATTTTCATGATGGCAAACAAACTCACCAACTGCTGCTATGTAATAAATGTGTCCTCCTAAATTAAGATAAATGAACGAATAGATGTGCCCCAGCGTATAATTGGTCATCTTAATTGCCCATATTAATGTGAAGAGGCGTGGCTACTGCCAGGGACTGTCTTTCTTTACCATTTGATTAATTGCAAGGATATCCAGCGTTCCCACAGGAGAAATGTTTTCCCCTCCTCAGAGAACCAGCAGTTCATTCACCAGCAGTGTGTGGAAGAGATCTGTAATTATAGTGCTTCAGATTTACACTATTTGCTGAGCTTTTACTTTGTTGTAGAACACCAAAGGCGTTCTTATCCTTTATAAGAAACTTGTCAAACAAAATGGTATCAGGGCGTGCATAAGTCTCATTACACAATCCAAACACAGACCAGTGTGCGACTGTGAATCACTGTAGCTGTGATTTTTAGGCAAACAGCTTACGCACTCTCACACTCACACAAAACAAGACTGTCTGCCCGAATATGAAATGCATTTTGGATGATGAGGCATTTTTGCGCCGACGTAATGATAAAATTGAGAGTCACAGATAGTGGAGGGTAGAGCACTAAATTGTCAAGTCTCTGGCTGATGACAGGCAGAAAATAGCATCACTTTGGCTCCTTTGCAACAAAACATACAAACAGCCTCCCTTCACAAACACATACTGCTTCAGATGCCAGATTTACTCCCAGGGAAATGCAGCCTTTTCGAAGTGACACGCTCCTGCCAAGTACCAGTCTATGAGCAGCAGCCATTACTGCTCACACTGATTCACTCCAACAAATGCAGCTGCTCCGTTGAAGTAAGCAGTAATCTTATCCACTTTCATCTTTCAAGTTCACTTAGTTGTCATCAAGACTGGGAAATGTTTTGACATGTTTTTTTTAACCAACACAATGGAGGCTGCGGACAGACAATTATTTGGTCAAGTTTGTGGTGGAAATATGTTTGTGGATTCTGCCAGCAGCTCTTTGGATTGAAAACTGCAAGTGTGCTGTCCTCACAACACGTGACCATGTGAAGCTAGACAGCCAGCGAACGGGAAAGAAACTCTGTAGACAAGGCTTGCTTTTCTTGTTTTATAGAGAATCTTGTATTTGGTCAATTCAATGTTACAAAAATCACCAAAATCACCGTAACTGAAACAACAGAAAAAAGTGCGTCACTATCAACGGCTGTACACACAAAATTACATACAGCGCTAGCTAATCAGAAATAGCACAAACTTAAAACTTCACACTTAACACTTTTGTGGTCCGAACATTGTGCTTGTGACATTAAATAATACTTACAAAGACGAGAGTTTGCCAAGGCTCAACACAAGAAAGCTCTCTGCGTTAAATGAGACGTTAGATTACGTGCTTGTACCAGTTACCAAGGGAACAAAGATTGTTACAGAAAAACAAGAGCGCTTACTCTGCGCGAACAGGAAACTGTTGTTTTCTAGAGAGGAAGTCTCCCTTTTGTTTTCCCCTTATATTTTAACAAATTTAGCTTATTGCTTTAGCATTTAAGAACGTGTTGTATTATTAAACAAACTTTTAAATGAATGAATTATGTCTTTAAACGTGAAGACATGACAGCAAGAAAGAATTCATATTTGCTCTTCCCAACATCCAACATTGCCATTGTGCAGTGCCCTTCTTTTACTTTGTTGTCATGCATTTAGGTCACGCTTTTGTAGAAATGTTGCATTGCGTTTTGTTTCTCGATTGAAAGTCAATTCATGCCCTGAATAGACACTGAATACTGATTTGAATGGGCATTATGCAAGTTGTTTCTGTGAAAAAGTTCATATTTTTGCATTGTTGAACTAAAAGTAGTAGCAGCTGTAAGAGTGGGCTGCATGGTGCCTTCACTTTTGACCCGGGTGGTGTCTACAGCGATCCAAGATAAATTGTTTTGCCGGTTTGTTGGTGTGGGGGTCCAACAGTAGAGAAAACAATTGATCCTAGAACATCCTACACCGCTGTGATGGAATTTCCAATTTTTCTAGTGACATTTTCTACAAATATATTTTTTCAGTCACTGTACTCCAAATACCAACAAAAGGAGGGCAGGGCCTGGTTATTACTGTGATGTGAGACCTCTTGGAACACCAGGTGCCACTGCGGCTGTAAAGTGCCAAACTGTCCTTGTGTCCTTAGGCAAGACATTTCACCTACATTTCCTAAAATGAGTCTGGTGTGTGTTTTGTGGTGGTCGGTGGAACCAATGGCACATACTGTTGCACCCTTCAGTGTGCCCCAGGGCAGCTGTGGCTACAGTAGTAGTTTATCACCATCGTGTATTGAGTGAATCAATAATGACATGTGAAGCGTCTTTGAGTGTCCAAAAAAACCTCAACATAAAACCAATGCATTTTTATTATTATTATTATCATTATTCAATTATTTAACACCATATTATTTAACATCTGTATAATTAGACATTTGATTGCATTTCTAACTTGTTTCTTACCTCCATTGGATCCAGGACTTCTCCATTCTTTAGCCACCTGTACGATGGCTTTGGCTTGGCGCTGGCTTTGCATTCCCATACCAACGTCTCGTCTATGGTCATCTGGACATCCTGGGGTTTCTCAGTCAGATGCGGTGGAGCTGGGAACCATAAAAAACATTTTAAAAAATTTGACCCTTAACAGTAAAAATATCTATCAATAATTAACTCATAATTATTGTTGTTTCAAGAATAGTGACTGCTGTGATAGACATATCACACACCATTATAGTAAACCACTACATTATTTGGTTCAAATGTTAGCATTATTGAGTGTACATATATGATATTGGATGATTTCAATTGTTTTCTGATACTCTGGAGGTAGTTTAATGATCTGACACATTCTGCAAATAAACAAAACACATTTTTGTAGATTTGTGGAAAGTTCTCCAACAGGACTTGTGGCCCCATTCCTTCTAAATCATGTAATTGTAAGGTTATTTGGTCAGAGTCAAGAAATTAATTTTGAATGTTAGATATTATGGGAACAGCAAAAAAAAAAATATTGCGAATATGATGTCGGACTATGGTGATCCTAAAACTGTCGTTCATTATTTGTGGATCTGACAATAACAAATTAGCTTCCAGCCTTTAGGGTTAACACTAGGACCGCCGTGTTCTAAACATACCTTGCACCGCCCCCTGCGGTCAGTTGACCGCTATGTATTTTGCGCTGATACAGCCTTTTGCCAAATTGATTGTTCACTAAACCAGAACTTGATGTTGCAAGGAAATCGTGATCATAATGAAACTGTGTAAATTATTTGTCCAAATATGCTAAGTAATTGTAATTCTAGCCGAAATAAACGGCACATTGTGCGTGTACTGATCCATCAAAATTACAATGACATTTCAGGCTAGATTTATTTTGTAACTTTGCAAACACGTAAAAGGTTGGTCACTACATGTTAAATTTGACTCAGTAACAATATGTAAATTCAAACAATATAAATGATGAAGTTTAGAAAAGCACGAGACCATAACATCTTCGCGCTGCTATATGCCTCTACTTCTTACGTCATCTCCAGACTGTTTTCTCTTTCCAGCTGAAATCACCGTGGGAAATATTATCTAGATAATAATAATAGTATTCGTACTGACACAAGATCATCAGCTAGGCTACCATCGTCAGTGTAAAATCTTCAATTTTACACGGGACATATATATATATATATATATTTGGCGTATGGCTGGCATTACGCGGGTCATGTGCGTTATTGCTTCTGGACTTGTTACAACACTGCTGTCCGTGCCGTGAATGCACTATGGGTTTACGTTCAGATTTAGAATATTATAGGTGTTCGCCCCGCTGTCACTTTCCACCTCAAAATGTGACATCTCACCTCTGTCAGACTGTTCTCATTCTTGCAGCTCTATTCATTTTGTACTCCTCTCAATTCAAAACTCTTTCTCTCTCCCAAATAATAATAAAAAAAAAACTCAAGTCCCTTTAGAGTCTAATGACAACATATTGATACATTTTTATAAGGCGCAAAAAAACCCCGGGAAAGGTTACTATGACAACAGTCGCTCCTTCGCCATGTATCCCTATGGGGCAGCAGAAAGGGCTGTGGAATAGAAAAGTTAAAATGCGTGTAAATCTTATTTTCTTTACATTTTCCAAAACCAAAACACACCAAAATATAAACAACAAGTACCCAGTAAAAGTCATAAAATGTCAACTTCTGGCGTTTTGTTTTGAATACACTAATTAGCATATTAAAGTGAGTGACTGTCAGTTGACCGCTAGGGGCGCTCCTAGTGTTAAGCCAAATGTACCAAAGTTCAGTCGAGTCCTTTCAATCAATAAAATAGTCCAATGTTGGATTTGAAATGGTTCTTGTGATGAATAATAACTGAAGAATTATCGTTAATCAGATAAAACGTTGGGTATTTCTTGCACTTGATATAATTTACAGGCAAAAAGTTACAAACATTTTCCAGTGAAGACGCTAAGAAGACATTGTTATTCCCCATTGTCTTCAAAAATCCATAGAGAGAAGGCTGTTTATTTATGGCGGTGGTCCTGGTGCCAAGTTAATGACTAGCACCTTATCGGTGGCGACATTCACTGAAGATTTATGGAGCTCATGCAGCAGAGCCATAAATAATAGCTCACTGTCAGGGTCAAGGGGAGGCAGACACTTGTTTGTCACAGGGTTTTCTGCTACCGTCATAATAAACTAAAAACTCCACTCATAACAATTCCAAAGACACTTCCAATTCAGAGAAAAAGCTTGTAATCAAAGATGGAGAGAAAACATGTTGTAGCTGTAACTGAACATGTCCTAAACATTCTTTTAACAGTGTGAAGTATTTGGTTTGTATTTGAGTTGAAGAATACGCACAAATATATACTGTATATATACAATTTACTAGATCTTTGCCGGTCGCATGTACAAAATATTCTTATTATTTTTGTCACATATTATGTTGAGGAAAACCAACATTAGATGTAACATGTCATTTCTGCACAACCAACCAAACTTAATGTGTGTCCCTTTGACCTTTGGACTGAGAAAAGCCACTTTATGCTCCAGCTATGCTGATGTTTATGTTTATCTTTTCAACTGCCCGATAAAAGCCCATTAGTGAGTGCAGAGACACTACATTAAGCACACATTTAACAAACTGGGTTTGGTCTCAAAACGTTGTTGACCCTGAATAGATATCACAATTACAGCCAAAACACACTGGGCCCAAAGATTGAAAGTCTGGGGCCCTCTGTTCAAATCACTCAAGTAGTTCTTGAAGGTGGGATTAAAATGTTGTCAGGAGCTGTGTTCATTATGTGCTTTTGTCAGATGGTGCTCAGAGAAGTGTCCTTGTTAAACCTTTAGAAAATGTCTGGAAGCTAAAAATGCAGCAACAATAAATGAGGAGCTCCTGCTGATGACTCTCAGCGTACGCTCTATCTTTAGCAACACACCGCCGTGCTTTGCCTTAAGTCGCGTCTGACTCAGTCACATTTTAACTGAAGAATAGGCCTCTATGTATTCATGAGTGAAAATTTGGTTTCATTTCTAGGACAGGGCAAAACTTATGATAAGTGTATTTTTGCCAACATTATAAATAAAAGCCAAAACACACTATCCAATGGAGCAAAGGAGGTAAAGCAGAAAATCGAGCGCATATGTCCTGGATGGACTAAAAAAAGAAAACCCTCGGATCTGAAAAATCCTACGCCGCACAGGTGAGTAAAAATATATTGAAACGTTTGAGCTTGGCCTGAAAATCCACCAGAGAAGATCATTCACAATCCCTGGCCGTTTGAATTGAGTTTACAAAAATATTTTTTTATTATTACCCTCTCAAGATCAGCCTGAAGATATTTTCCCTTTAGAGCATGATACATTTTTCAATGACATTTAAAAACATTTTGAAAATGCCAATGTCAAACACAATGCAGTCGTTGCTCCATTACAAATGAGGCCAGAGCAGACCTAACACAACGACAGTGATCTCACCTATTCAAATGCAGTCAAGTATAAAAAGCATGATCTAATTTAATAAATCCCCTCTGCTACATAAGGACAATTGCAATGGATCAACAAAAGCCCTTCCCACCATTGTTCTATAGTGTAGCTTTGGTTGGGCGTCACAAGCCACATCCTCTTTATCGATTCCCCTGTTGGTTTCTCCTCTTGATGGATGTCCCACTAGCTTCCATCTATGGCAGTTTAAAATGAGATTACAGATTTTTATCACCTGGCAGCTGGCCCGAATGTCTGCACGACTTGGGGAGGGGACAGGACCTAAATCTTGTATGCGCCGCCTAGACTTGTATGCACACAGCCGTGGTGCAGATAAGCTGTAGAAATAGGACACTCAACTTTTAGACTACCTAAAGGGACCAGCTTCAGACCGCAGTCCCCCGTTGCTCAATTTAAGTTCCAGAACCGCTTGCTAGTTTTGTTTCACAGTTGTACAACATCTGACCTCCTCTGAACTGTGTCCAACCCGATGCAACCTGCCTGCATGAAGAGCGAGCTGTGTTTTAGCTGCAAAGTGCCTGGGAATATAGAGCTACAATTTTTATATTTCTTTTGCACTGGCCAAGTTAAACATTATGCACTGACAGGTGAAATTAATAGCATTTTTAATCACCTTTAATGAGATTTTTTATATCAAGTGGAATAGTCTTCTAAATGGTCATGCCATCAAGTTGCCATTTGAGACCTTTGTGATTATTTGTATAGTCATAGACCTGTAATATTAAAGGTTTCAGTAACTTCAATTATGTTTAAGAATTCAACCATATGACTATGAAGTATCGTACATACATTCTCTGGACCTCAGATTTAAATAAATTCTGTCCTATCAGGGAGCAGTGCGGCTGACCATCGGCAGGTGCAACCGGTGTTTGCTTTTCTAACTAAAATTCAGATAGTGTAAGGCCTTATACATAAACTTTTATAAAACAAAACAACATACAGTATCCACTCCTCTTCCTGGTAACAAATACAAATTACTTTTGAAATCATGAAAGCATTTTGTTTCTTAAAGTAAAAGATCTACTTAATGTATTGAACCAATTTCCCAGAGGGTTTGTAACTTTGGGTTTGATTGAATTACTTTGTGGCGCAAATAAATGGTTCTGAATTTGGATCCATCCCTTCTGCAGCACAATTATGGAAATAATGTGGGAAAGCTGGTGTTTTCTACGCACTGATCTTTTCTACTAGAGAAATAGAATCCTTATTATCTAGAGATATCTGTATTTTTAGTATACCTTAGCATAACTGGCCCATTTGACTCTATAGTGGGGAAAAGCATAGCCTTATCATCTTCAGGCCTTTGAGATATTCGCTTATACGGCACTACTCAGAAAACCAGAGTTCTAAAGTGAGCATATCTTTCTTTTTTAAGTGTCATGAACAATTCAGATCCAGGCTGAATGTTCGCTAGAATTGGACCACAGAGGGCAGCACTATAGTAAAATTCCAACAATTATCCCTGGCTTTTGTTTTATTGGGCCTGCTCCTCTGGGCTCTGAACTGCACCGCTATAAGAACAGACATTTCTCTTGAAAGTAAAGCATGTTTAATCCTCCGGTTTTTCTCGGCTGGGGCTCGCATTTCATCTTACCCATAGGTGCTGCAAAAATGTATTATCATATCAAAGACTCCCTCCTTCACTGGAAAGGAGAAATCGTGATTTGATGATTTGAGTCAAGAACTTCCCTACAGGGCCTGGTGGGCGCACATCATAAATGCATAAAGTACAAAATAAAAGAGGCTGAGACCATAAAAATCCTTCATCAAAGCCTATTAACAGATTTTCACAGGATGTAGAGTATAAGTCCAGTGGAAAACGCCACGCTGAAAGGTGGTGTAAATCTGTGTTGCGTTATGTTAGCCGCTAGCATAGTAATGGCCCTTGTCAAAGATGAAATATACGGCTAATGGTTTGATTCATACCCAGAGTGCGATATGATGCAGTTATTTATTGTTTCTAATAAAATCCACAAGATGCTGCACAACAAATAAATTCCTTTGTTACAACCGCAATGAAACCACTGCCAGGTTGGGCTTTCGTACTGAGAGATGTTCAATCACCAGTGCTGTCTGAAAAAGGACTACAGGGCAGGGGATTTGGTACTGAGCTATAACTGTGCAAAATATGTTCTCCACAAGCTACTTTTTACCACTTTTTAGCAGTAGCCGTTCGATACTTCTTACTTATTTATCACAGCCTCAATGGAGCTGCGAAGTCCACGCCCATTTTGCGGTTCCGGAAATAAAAATTCAATGCATTCTTCTCATTTGGATGGATCATTTAGAAGAAAATTCTATCAAAGTTTGAAAGCTTGTCTAGGGCTGATCAGTGGTGTGCGCTGTGCAAAACCTAGACTTGATAAATCAAATCAATCATTAAAGATATGATATAAAGAAATCATCTTCACTTTTAGAGTTTAAATGTTTTAGGCATGAGCCCACCACCAACAACCTCTCAACAGTGCTGTTGTGTGATCCGGGCAATATTTAATTTCAAAATGACAAATTTCATACGGTTTGTGTCCCGAGTAGTGTGTTACACATTATTTCTTTTATAAAGCAACCTTTTGCTTTACTTGGTTACTCTCTATAAAAAGTAAAGTTTTTACTTTACTTTTGCGTTATTATTCAACTGTTCTTGAATTTGCTATGGAAGTTCTACTATGCAGACCAACAGATATTTCTTTTTATGATTATAACCACCACAGAGCAAGTACACATGGGGTGGCTGTATTTCATAAACACAGTTCTTACTCGGGGGCATTGCTTTAGGACCTCTCATTCTGATCCTCATGTACTCGAGTACCTCCACATCTGCGCTAAAGGACGCTGCATCTTCCTCCTCATCAAAAGATAAGACTAGCGGCCTCTCGCTTGACATACAGGGGAATGAAAACTGAACAGAGAATGTGTTGATTCTAACTGATTCTCCAAAGTGATGCAGAAATAACATCACATAAACCACTCGTGTGGGTTGCCAGTTCGGTGTTGCTAGTTTGTTGTTGAAATATAGCTGGTAAGAACTCTCAATTCATTTCAATTTAGTTTGTATAGTCCTAAATCACAACTGTAGACGTCTCAGAGGGCTTTAGCCCTTAGATTTCAATTGTTAATTTTCAAACACAAATTATAAAATCAACAATAATCAACCAATGTCCCTGAATGTCCTTAAATGTCTTGGATCTAGACCAGTGTCTTTAAACCCTCCTGCAGCGGCATCCCTTTTTACTTTATACTATATTATACAGTGTCCTGCTGGTGGCCAGAGTCTGGCCGCATTTCAGATTCACGCAGCTAAAATCCAGAACAGAAAATATCAGACAGGCTTCTACCATGTTCAAATCCAGGTGAAAAAGAGTTAGCTGAGCAAACAAGAATTCTATATTCACTCGTTTTAATGTTTTTTTTTATGATTATTCATGTTTTATTATTATTAATTATTTGAATGCTTTGTGTGAGTGTTTCCATTTTGTTTTTTAAGCACTTGTGTATGAACTGTGCTCTACAAGTAAACTTGCCTTTCCAATTGTCTCAACTGTTACAATATTTATATTTGTGCTGCCCTATGTACATTTGATCAGAGTTGAACCCTATATCTGTTGACCATTACAGATACGTTACCATGCGGAACACGGGTCCATATTGTTTTCATAAGACGAGCGACTGAGATCAGAGACAGATCCGAGTCCAACAATCTCTCACAGAACTAAACTGTAGACGTGTTGTGTTCAATCAGTGGCACTTTGTGAAACATTGCCTGTGGGTTGAGGATATAGCAAAGCACTATAAATGTACAAGACGTGTTCTGTACAAGACTGACAGGTTAACGGCAGATATATTTCTGTTCTTGAGACCTCAAACATGAAGAAGGATGAGATCAAAGCCAGGAGAATGCGCCCTCCTACTCACCGTAGAAAACGAGCTTTCCTTGTACTGTGTTCCTGCCTCTGCTGTTCTCCGCCGTGCACTCGTACGTCCCAGCATCTTCCTGCTGGAAGTAAGGGATCTCCAAGACGCCACTGTCTTTGTTTACCTCCACTTTACGTCCAAAGGCTGCTCCGTCTGTTCTCCTCCAGCTAATGGTTGGCACAGGGCTACAAAGTAAAAACCCAAATTAAAAACACGTATTTACAGCTAAATTTGCAGATTAAAGACATGGACAAGCAGGTACGGCCAAGATGTTAATATTGGGCTAGCTTTCCTCAAGACTTTGATTTTTTATCTTGATTTGTTTTTTCATTTGCAATCTTGTCTTTTCATAAATAATACATGCTGCGTGTCCCAAAAGAAAGGGTCTCGTAAAAGTCGAATGCTGTCAGCTTCTTATTGGAAAACATATTTTGTCAGGAAGAACCCCGTGAGTCATTATTTGAGGCTGTGGGCCGAGAACTGATCAAGGGTGGTCCTTTCTTTTTCACTTTTCTCTCGGAAAAGATGTGACAGAGGCCAAATAGACCTGCAAGTGGAAACTAGTGATGAAACCAAACTGTTTTGAGGGCTAGGCACGAGATTCGTACATGGATTTTACCTTTTATTTCTTATTTTTTTGTAGGTTAAAAGGTAGGTACCCCAGCTTCATCCCTTTAATGGTTTCCTCAACCATTTGGTAGATCCCCTTTTGACCGAATATATCTACTTTTGGGGCATCTCACTTGGTTTTAGGCACTTTTACCATCAAACTGCATCTCAACCGTTGTGAAAACAAATGATTTGTGTTATTACTGCTCCTACATCTTTGAAAATCCTAAAAAAGACATTACTTTCTCAGTAAATGTTAAAGGGTTAATATCCATTTGCCTTTTTTCCCTTTTCAATTTTTATTCATAGCTGCTACATAACTGTGGGTATACTGATCATTAAGATGTCAAATGACGGAGGAGGTTGGTGGCAGACGTAAACAGCTGATGTTGTTGTTGTTGTTATGGTGCTGTATAATGGAGCTCAGAGGGACGTACTTCCCCAGTGCGAAACACTCCAGTTTGACCGTGGAGCTCTTGGCGACTGGCACCACGTCAGGAAACTGCACCTCGATCTTTGGCTCGTACTCTCCCATCACACCTGTTAGAAAGAAGAAAACACTATCTTCTTATAAAGATCACCAAGGTTTTTGACACTTGTGTTCATATTATACATTCTTGCTTAAAAAAATTTGAGAACTGAGGGATTTTATCTTTACTCTGTTTAATGTGCTGTGACTTTTTATGATTTGAATGCCTTGTTCTGTTCTTTTTAGAAGAAGAAAGTTCTTTATTCATCCCACAATGGGGAAATTTCAGTTTGATGCATACACATATCAAGGCAAGCAGCGTACATCACTTCCACACTCCTTACAGGCAAAGTGGGTTAAGTGTCTTGCCCAAGGACACAACGACAGCAGAAGTCAGTGGAGAAGGTCTCGTGGTGGGCTCGAACCCACAACCTTTGGGCTCAAAGGCCAATGCTCTACCATCTGAGCCACTGTTGCACTTGAGTTGCCTTGTGTATGACTTGTGGCTAAAATGTGGTGACTACCCAATCAAGATTAATTGCAAATCTTTTTGTATGAATATAGGCATTTAAACATGATACACTAATTCTGCACATTCAGCTGTCTGATAAACATTAGAATAAAGCAGCAACCAAATGAATAAAAAATAGCACCTGATTTACTCTGTTTAAATCTGTGCTCACATTGCAATCAATTTTCCACCATAAAACAAAGTGAATTCAAGTTAAGCATAATGCCTTGTGATAAATCCATCAGAATCAAAAGAACTCCTGCAGACTTTCACTCACAGAGCATCAAAAGATTGCAATTATTGCCTGTGATTTTCGTCGCCCATAACTTTGTAATAGGAGTTCTTTGAATTTCTTTTCCAGTGCAGCAGTCAGATCAACTTGAAAGTGAACTTTGATGATGTGATGATGATGGTATTGTTTAAGCCCAGACTCCATCTCTCTGACAGACGGAGTAAAGACACACACACACACACACACACACACACACACACACACACACACACACACACACACACACACACACACACACACACACACACACACACACACACACACACACACACACACACACACACACACACACACACACACACACACATTCCTCCTCTTTCAAATATAATACCACCAATATTTCTCTGCTTTCATTTCTTTTCCCTGACTGCTTTAGTGAGTGATAATATCTTGGGAAAATTAACGAGACTGTGATGTGCTTTTATTGTGTCGCTAAGGAGGTCTCAATAAACATTTGACGTATGGTTAAAATTGTAGCAACAATAAAAGATTAGATTAGATTTAATTGTATTGTCTTTACAATGTCTTTACACTGCAACAAAAAAGAACTGAACATTACACGATTTTACACATTAAACACTATAGTCATTTTAAATAGGTTTTATCAAACAAATGATTCTCTATTTTTTTATTTTTTTATTCAGGATTAGATTTTCAGTGGAAATGATTACAATATTAGTATAGCTACAACTACAATCAGAAAAGTATACCATGCATACACATCACGGCTACTTCTACAGCTATTTGTTGTCATGGTGTGGACTTTTGACTTTTACCCGGTTTTAATTCCAACATCTGTTAACAGCCGACATAGACATTAGCTAAGCATAGACCTGCCATAAGGTATGGAAAATAAGTAAAAAATTGCTCATATCGGCCAAAATGTACCTTAATTTGAGCACATTCTGACTGACTTAAAACTGGATATACCAATTGTGATTTACCAGCATAATGATCTTGTTTTAAAAAGATAAAAAAATGTCTCCCTTGGAATAAGAATATAAAGCAACAGTTCCTGAAATAAGACTAAATGGCTTTCTTCCATTAGCAAATCTTGTTTTAAATCGGTCAGAATGTACTCAAATTAAGACAAAAACTATGCAATTCAAGCAATTACTACTTCGTGATATTTTTCTATTTTTTTTTGCAGTGCAGAGCAGCACAGTTCATTAAAGTGATAGTCTGGAACTCTAAATAGATTACAAATGTCAAGAATTGTATTAAATTGACCTCCTGGCCTTAAATGTTGATATGAAATAAGTCATTTTATGAGATATAATATTCAGGGAAGTCCCGCCTTCCCTTCTCTTAGCTATAGCTCAAAATCCACGATGCCGTCCAGTTTAACCAATCACCTCCGTGCCTGTGTATTAAAAATGTTTATGTATAATGTGTTCTCAGATTAACATTTAAATCTGTTAATTGATTGTTACGGAAACGTAGGCGTAGACCAATCAGAAAGGAAGGGGGAGGAGCTTGGGTCGTTTGATTCAAATCCTGTACCTCTCTTCAGTCAAAGTCATTAGCTGTAATCAATCATAAACTACGTCCGTACCGTCCACTCTGAGTATAAGTGGCGTGGGAGGCCCCTGCACGCTGGTCTTGGTGACGGTGTTGGTGACCACACAGGTGTAATTCCCCACATCGGAGAGCTCCACTTTGGCGATGTACAAGTTCCCCGTCTTCTGGGACACAAAGCGGCGCGTATCTGGCGTCACGAGCGATGGATACTGATTGAAGATCCACGTGAAGGTTAGCTCTGTAAACAAAACAATATGCACATGCCACTTAAAGCTGTCCAAAATGGGTTTGAATAACTGCACCATCACTTCAGTGTGAACAGAGATGCCTGAGGGGATAGAGCAATTAGTGAGCTGGAGTGAGTGCCAGCCGACAATGAGTAAAAAAACACAATTTCTAATTAAATAGCGATTACTCTTACCCACCACTGGACTCAAAAGAAGCCCTGAATAGCTGTTACTGTGGTGGAGCAGACAGTGGAAGGGAAATGATGCTTGTTTTGTGGAACTTTGAGCATGCAGACTGGGACTATAGCGCCAGGACTAAACATGAGGCTGCAACATAATAGCTATTACCTGGAACAGTCTTCCTGTAAATGTGAGACAGCTTTCTATTCCGGCAAAGTTCAAATTAAGGTTATAAACATTTACCATTAGCTGTGCATAACTGAAAGATTTGTTCTTCACTCTTTTTAATGTACTGTAATCATATATGCCGTGTACAATTTCTATTATATCTTGTTTTGTTAAGGACTTTGAGTGGCTTGTATGCACTGAACTACAGAAATGATTCATGAACTTGCCTTATGTCAAATGCTACAACGGCAACATGGGGAAATTAAAGCTACGGTACCTAACTTTCAAACCTTGAAACAGTTTGGATCTACCGCTGGCATACTATTTTTGTTTGGCTTTGGATACATTTTTAGAAAACAACAGAGGAAAAGAGCCCAAGACATCAAATGGTGACTCACACAACTCATAATTTAAAGGTTTCTAAAGATAAAATATTCTATAATAAGATGAAGACAGCATGTAGTCTCATTCATTCACAACATTTAACAAAACTATTTCTGTTGGGGCGATGAAAGCTTAAGATGTTTAAAAACTGAAAGTTAACACCATCTGCAAAAGCCCCGACTCTTCAGAAGATACAACCACATTACAGCATATGAGAGATAATAGAAAAAAAAAAACAGTTTTTTAAGAATATGAAATAAAATAGATGCAAGCAAAAAGCAGCAGACTTAATGGTCCTCCTACTTCCAGACGTTTCACACAACAGTGCATACAATCTTGCCATCAGTATTGTAACCAGCCATTGTAACCAGCAGTGCATGGAGCCATTTTAAAACCTTTGCACAAAAAACTGTCAAAAAAAAAAATCTCATTATTCTTTTAATTATTATTCTATAAATCTTGAGTATTGTAAGAATAGTAACATTGTGACTGTGAAAGGTTCTTCTCCAACTGTCGCTACTCTACACTCACAACAAGCCAATTAGCGCTAACTACTCTCACCAAGGATATTGGCACGGCATTCGCTGAACAACATACAACAATCAGAGATAAACTGTTGGATATCCGCTTTTTGCATCATTCACATTCTTTCACTCTCGTATGACATTGATCAAAATTCTAAGTTCAAGACTTTCTCATGCTGTTGTTTTCCCATTGTCAAAAGATTAGACTGTCGAGAAGTTCAAAGAAATCATCAAAAAGTCAAAACTTAATTTGTCGTTCAGTGCATAGTTTAAGTACTTTTTCATCATTTCTATATTTTTGAACCTCTTTTGTCTTCCATTTGTTTTCCTTCTATGATTAGTTATTGTCCTTCCTTTGTTTGAAAAAAGCCATCTTGTATTAACATTATGCATTTTTAAGATTTTGTACAAATATATTGTTTAGGCCTATTCTCTTTCATTGATATTTTCAGATTGAGATACAGTATGTCTCTATGTATGGTTTCTATTGAATCAAATCTATGTCTTATCAAGCAAATAATTCCCACACAAAAACAGTTGTTGCTTAACTTCCCACAATGAGATAGAAGTTAGTTTGCTTCAGTGCGTTGAACTTTTAAATGAGCCATAGATAATACATTTAGGAGAAGATGCAGCGGCATAATACCCATTTTCAGTATAGAAGCCCAGTATTCGATTCATCACAGGGATAACAAGCTTTTGGCAAAGTCTATACTGCGAAGCAAATGGACTGTTGCAAGAGAGTTTTGCACTAACAATCAGCAAGATTATAAGAAAGGAATGATAGTGTTTTGACATATTGACACACGGATAGATTGCCCTGGACCATATTGCATCCCTGTCCCAAAAGCAATCTTGGCTTGGTTGGTAAAAACTTGTCTAAACGATGAGTCGGCACAACAGTGGGGAGAATAATTGAAACGTGAGTTGGACCGTGAGCCAGTGAGTCTTTCTACTTTGGATGTGGAGGAGTTAAAGCTGCTCCAGCATAGACCTGCTGAACTTGCACTATCTACAATATACTACCTTAGAATAGTATCAAACTAGAAGAAAACATTCTAATTAGTTGTTGATTACTCAACAACAGACTGATTTACATTTGTCCATATGGATTGAACCGTCTGAATGGTCCATGCTGATAATTGTGACCATTGATGACATATGTTGGTGTTGCGTATCATGAACAAAACAGATCTTAAAACTTGTGCTTGTGTGGCTACTGAGTTCATGAGAAACATTTAGGGCGACAGTAGCTCGGTTGGTAGAGCATTGGCCTTTGAGCCAGAGGGTTGTGGGTTTGAGCCCGATGTTCACCAACGACTTCCACTGTCTGCTGTCGTTGTGTCCTTGGCAAGACACTTAACCTCTGGGAACACCAGCCACAGTGGGGCGGCTGCGGCTGTAAAGTGCCAAACTGCCATTGTGTCCTTAGGCAAGACACTTTGCGCCCATTGCCTAGAATGAGTCTGGTGTGTGTGTGTGAATGGTTGGTGATGGTCGGAGGGGCCAATGCCACATACTTGTTGCCTCGCTTCTGTCAGTGTGCCCCAGGGCAGCTGTGGCTACAGTAGTAGTTTATCACCGTGTACGGAGTGAAAGAATAATGACATGTGAAGTGTCTTTGAGTGTCCAGAAAAGCGCTTTTTTAAACTGATGCATTATTATTAAATGCATACCTTATACTTCTTGTGCTGACATTATTTTTAATGTTATTTTGATATGTGTTATTGGGAGGTTCGGAGATGCAGGTTAGATTTGCGGAGAACAGCCTGGAAGTCGTACGGTTCTCCCGTACAATCGGTCCGTCTAAAACTCACCTAGTGAGAAACGTTCTGCCGTGCAAAAAGGGAGATGACGATTAAAGTGCGTACAATTTTTTTGCGCGCTAATTTTTGTGTAATTAATTAATCTTAATTAATGCGTTAAAGTCCTGGCCCTAATTTATATATATGTAGTGGGGAATTCGGAGATAGATTTAACATTTAATTATGCATTGACTTCAAACTGTAAAAAGAATGGCTAGAGCAAGATTTTTGTTGCAGAGTGAATGTAACGTCCTGGTCTCAAAAGTAACAGGTGAATATTGAAAGGTGGCAAGAGTGCGTTCTTTCACAGCTACAGAGCTGCTTTTGTCAGAGCAGGTGTCTGTGCAACGAGTCATTATGACCCTGAGATCCTCTCTGTTTGAGCCACAAATCACACCCCTCTGTATTTTTCACATAATGATTTTGCCACACCTGCTCCAGGCGCCATGGTTTTTTCTGTCGTATTATCACTTTAATGGTATCAAAAAATACACCCTTTTGTGTGTCCAGATATGAGTCGTTCTCTGGTTCATTGAAATGATTCTGCTACAAAATAATTAATCACACAATGGGGACTTTTCAAACGTTCCTTGACTATCACAAAGAGTGAGGTATATGGTATATGTTATAAAAGAAGAATACGGCAGAGTAAAAGGAGAAAAAAGAGCCCTCAGGTTGCACACATTAAACAGGATCTATAATTTAAGTAGAAATGTTATAGATATCACAATCAAATTTCAGCAGAGAATATGACCCAAGTAAACAATAATAAAAGTAATAATAGCAACAGGTAAAGTGAGTAGTTAGTTATGAGTTAGTATATAGTTGTATAATATGTACAACAATAGGTAACAATAGGTAACAATAGGTAACAATAGATAACAATAGGTGGGGGAAAATTTCAACCAGGGACAGGAATTGAAAAATCTCTTTTTCTATTACTTTGTATCTGTTTTCTATAACTATGTATGAATGCATCACATAAATTAATTCATACAATAAATAGATCTATTGAAGCCGAGGTACCTGACTTGTTTCTTCATAAAAATAAATGTTATTAGTCCGAACAATTAGCAAATATTTTTTTTTAATCACACCATTTTACTTTGTAAAGATAAAATGGTGTGATAAAATCAGACCGCCACAAAATGTCCTCTTCTCATTGGAAAAAAAATATATCTTTTGCAAAATGACTGGAGCCATGTGAGTCACAATTTAAATTTGGGCTGAGAACTGATGAGTAAGTGAGGTCCTCTCTTCTTCTCCTTTCTGTTGGTTTTCTGTTGTTGATCAAAAAAGGCAGACAAATGTGTGAGAAAACTAGTGATAGAACCCAACTGTTTTAGAGCTATATATATCCAATGTGTTAGGTATGTTGGTTTTGGTCCACAACAATATGTTTACTTTTAATCAAGCCATATATGACGATTAAAAGTGATTTTATTATTATATATATATATATATATATATATATATATATATATATATATATATATATATATATATATATATATATATATATATATATATATATGCAAGCCATTGCCCTGAAACTCCCCATTCTATATTTTATAATCAGATAGACACTTGTAATCATAGTTGTTTGTAGTTCCATTAAATGCTGACTTCGCCGTTTTCACAATGTATGTTTTAGTGAGTCCCAGGTCTCTCCAGGGATGCAGTCATATCCCCTTTCCCCTGAATAATGAATCCTTGCTTTGCTCCTAACAGCCCCATGTAATTTTAATGTGTCTTTAAAAGTATATCTTCTAAAGGTGCAGAGTGCAACAAAGTGGAACCATAGCAAATAAGAGGTTACTAATAGATTTGTAAAAGATTCATGGTGAGAAGGAAGGAAATAGGAAGTGGGGAAGCTCTATGGTAGTGTGCGATGATTTGACTTAAGAGCTCTTTGCGGATAAGCAGTAATGGAATAATGCAATGGTGAGT